AGCCGGTGGAGCGAGTGCTCCCGGACCTGCGGCGAGGGCTCTCAGTACCGCACCGTGCGCTGCTGGAAGATGCTGGCCCCAGGCTTTGACAGCTCCGTGTATGACGACCTCTGCGAGGCAGCGGGGCTGGCCAGGCCCATGGAGAGGAAAGCCTGCAAGAACAAGGCCTGTGGGCCCCAGTGGGAGCTCTCCAAGTGGTCCGAGGTAAGGCAGTAGGGGAGCTTTGCTGCCAGAAGTAAGGAGGAGCCGGGGTTGGGATGGGGCCTGGAGGAATGTGGCTGGTAGATGGTGGGGGCTGAGGGAGCCTCTGGGCAGCAGCATCCTTGGGAAACAAGGACTGCCTTTATCCACAGCTCCCCTGTTCTGGCACTGCTCAGCAAAGGCCATTGCAAAACATTTTTTTGTAAGGTCGTTTCTCAAGCAGGGTGTTGACCAAGTGAAAGCCCTGCCAGCAAGAGGCTTTGCCTCCCTCTTCCAGAGGATCCAAACGGTTCTATCTGACTGAGGGTGAATGGGGAAACAATACCATGGAGATACAGAGAAATTAAACCTAACTGAAGCCCCTTTGGTTGACTTTCCACTTTTGACTGCTTGGGTTGTGGCCCAGTGACTTTGAACAGCAGTTCAACACTGAAGTGTTGGAGCTCTGGGTCCCAAACTAAATGAGCAGCAATGATAGAGACAGATCCACCTTTTTCTGTCCCTGCTGGGGCCCTTCCCCTCTCTCCTAGTGCAGCAGGAGGAGGCATAGCTCCCTCCCACCCTTTCTCTCTGCTCCTGAGCCTGGGGCTGACTCGGTGTGCCCCTCGCAGTGCTCGGCCCGGTGTGGCGCACGGGGGACGATGAGGCGGGAGGTGCGCTGCTCCGTGGAGGTGTCCCTGTGTGACAAGGCCCAGAAGCCCAGCAGTGAGAAGGTGTGCACAGGCCCCCCCTGCGACCGCCGCTGGACCGCCTCGGACTGGGGCCCGGTGAGTCCAGAGGGACAGCTTCTCCTTGCTCCCAGTGCCAGGGGGTGCAGGGCTGGCGGGAGGGAGGGAGCAGGTGGGCAGACGCGCTGCAGCTCTCCTTTGGCTTTCTTCTGGCAGAGGCCAAGCAAAAGAAATTAGAATAATCTGTATTTTTGCCTCTCTGTGCTATAAATTTCGTTTAGCTCTGAGGTGAGCTCCATTCAATAATCTGGGAAGTTCATGGCACCTGGAGAATGGAAGCCCCTGGCTAGATGTACCTCTAAAGCCCCTTGGGATCCAGTGTCACAGTCCCAGTGGCAGGGCTAGACTCTGGACTCAGCTCTCCTGGCACCACTGACCCTGACCTCTCCCCTTTCTTGCTTTCTGATGTGTCTAAATGCCCTGTGTTCCTCCAAGTGCTCAGGTTCCTGTGGCGAGGGACGCATGAGCCGCTTCATCGCGTGTCGCAACCTGGAGGGGAAAGTGATCTCCAGCTCCCAGTGTGACCCAGCCACCAAGCCCCTGGCTGTCCATCCGTGTGGAGACAAGGACTGCCCTGCACACTGGGTGGAGCAGGAGTGGGAACAGGTAAAGCCAGTCCTGTGTCCTCAGCCCTCCTTTCCACCCTGTATCCCACAGGACGTGGTGGGAGCCTGGTTCCCTTGGCAGAGCAAGGCTGTATAGTGAGACCTCCAGCCATGGAGCTATACCCTTGTCCTAGCTCCTTTTAGAAAGAGAGAATGACTAATGAATACCCCAGCTTGTCCCTGCTCTGCCACCCCAAAGTTCGTGGCATTTGCTGCCTTCCCAGGGATCTCCATTGGAGGGCAGCAATGTTCTAAGGAAACCGTCCTCCTCTCCCACCTGGCTGGGAGTTGCAGACACCTCAGCAGAGCTTTTACAGTACCTGCACTCAGCCCTGAAAAGATTTTGGTCCCGCCACTAAAAAGAAAAACCAGCCTCATCCTTGATAAATAACAGCTGGAGGTAAACCTGAACCCTGGAAGTCACCAGGACTGTGTACTTGCCTCAGGAATTAAGAGTCCAGTGAACATGGTCCAGGTGTTCCATTCTACCAAACAATCAGTCTCTGCCTGTCTCCTTCTGCTCTTTGTGTTGCTAAAGACTTTAGGCTTTCCCATACAAGCTGATCCAAATCCCAGATGTCCAGAAGGATACATGGAGTCAGTTGTGGGGCTTGGACTTTTTCTTCAAAGTCTTGAGCAAACTAGAGATTCATAAGGCACTAAGGAAAAAGGTTTCTAGGAAAAAAGGGAAGCAGCCAAGGCCTCTTCCTGCCAGCCATAGCTAAACCTCTGTTCCCACTTTGCTCCCTTTATAGCTGCTGATTACATTCAGTTGAGTCTCACCCAGCACTGGTTACAAGCACAAACTGGTTAAACCTGGGGACCCAGGGCAGTTTGATACCCGTCCTCTGCTCTGGCCCTCGGTGTGGATCATACACAGTGCTGCAGTACAGTTTTCAGCTGTGTCCAGGCTTTCAAACTCAGCAGAGCTCTGAAAGACCAGCTGAGCTCCCCACCTTTGCCTGTGCTGGCTTCTTTGCCGTGTTCCCTCAGCCGAGGAGCTGCAAGTTCACAGGATGACTAAGGGTGGATGCAAGCCAGCCATGCTGACCCTGCAGTGGTGAAAAAGGGCACAAAGCAGTGAAATCTCAAACTGACAACTGCCTCCGTGAGGCTCAGGGAGTAGATCCTGCCTCCTGCTGCTTCTGGTGGTGTCCTGAGGGAGGGAGCCCTCCCAGCTAAGCCTGCATAGCTGTGGGCTCAGCAGTACTTGTCCATGTGCATCACCTGCAGTGCACCACTTCGGTCCCCTTGGGCCCATACAAAGCTTGTCGGTACTCCAGGATGTAGGTTGCTACATGCATACGCTGCGTGGTTTTCGAGAACATAGAAACACATAAAATAAGGCAGAAACAGCCTCTCGTAGTCTTACCTTGGCTGCTCCAGGTCCCCTGTGGTAGCTGCTCTCAAGGCCAGCCAAGGTGAACTCAGCTAAGCATTAATTACCAGCACCTGTCCCCCCTCCCTGGGAAACGTGCAGAAACGCGTTGCTCCTGTGACCTGGGCAGCACTTGCCTCCATTAGCCTGGTGTTAGCAGAGGCATTAAGCACCTTGCTTCTGAGCTTACCTGAAACTCTGCAGCTGCTGAGCCCTCTTTGTTACCTGGCTGCTCTGCTCCCTTCCCAGTGTGATGCCAGCTGCGGGCGAGGGATGAAGACGCGGCTCGTGCTGTGCGCGGGCCTGGAGAACGGTGTGTACAGGGAGTACCCTGAGAAGCACTGTGAAGCCTCTCAGAAACCCGAGGAACAAGCTGCCTGTTTCAGGAGGCCGTGTTCAACGTGGTTCACAACCTCCTGGTCTCAGGTAGGGCTGGGGGTGGTGGGGAAGGGTGATGGAGGCCTTGTAGCCCTGGGTGGTGGAGGGGGACCTGCGCTGAGGGTCTCTGGCAGCACGTTCTGCCGAGGGCTCTGCTGAGTCTGGATGGGACCCTGAGCTCTGCTTTTCTGCAGATCAGGCAGCAGGTTGAGGGACTGGGACATGCAGGCTGGAGAAAACCTTGGAGCATGTGGTTTATTGCCTCAAGCAAGAGCTTGCACCACTCTGCAGGCATACAGGATACAGCCGTGCCCTCCTCTGCCAGGAGTCCATGTTCTGTCTTCCCCTGCTTTCCCTTGATGGTGGCTGCAGAGCATTTAGGGAATGAGAAGAGAGGAGAGCTGAGCCTGGCTCACAGCACCCATTTTCTCTCACAGCATCAACACTCCAAACAAAAATCTGAGTTGCATTAAAGAGATGAAAGCAAGATGAAAGCAAACTCCTCCCTTGCTCTGCCCCAACCCCAACTCAGGGATGCTCTCCTCCAGCAAAAGAATGGGAGCATAAGTTTGAGATCAGTGTGGAATTTGATCCAAACTTCCTCAGGAACAGTCTCCAAAGCAGGGGCCAGGAGGTCTCACTAGAATAAAGAATTTGGGAGCTATAGGAAAATGAAAAACGCCTCTCACAGTCTCTTTCCTCTTTCTCGACCCCGACAGTGCAGCAAGACGTGTGGTGCTGGTGTGCGGCTGCGCGAGGTGAAGTGCTACCAGGGGGAAGCGCTGGCTCAGGGCTGTGACCCCACTTCCAAACCAGAAGCCAGGCAGACCTGCCAACTCCAGCCGTGCCCCACAGAGGCACCAGGTACGTCTGGGAGGGCAGGGAGGTAGAGGAGCCCTTGGGAGCTCTTTGCTCTCTGTTGGGCAAGCACAACTCCTTTTAAACCCCTTCTGTGTGTGCTTCTGTTCCCCAGAAGACGCCTGTGAGGACAAAGCGACGGCCAACTGCGTGCTGGTGTTGAAGGTGAAGCTGTGCTCTCACTGGTACTACAGGAAGGCTTGCTGCTGGTCCTGTCGGCTCAAGTCACCCTGAGTCCTGCCAGGCCCTACTTCCCTTCCAAGTTCAGGGGCAAGAGCCCCCTCGAGCCAGACTTTACCACTTGAAGCCACCCCACTTGGCTTGGCTGTGGAGCCAGTCCCTGTAGACCAGCCTGCTCAGCGAGGAAGGGTTCCTAGGACTTAATCACTGTTCCCTCTCCATCAAGAGGGTTTTACACAAGACAAACTATCAGTGCCTAGAAAGCTACTGAGAAGTGAGTTGGGAAAGCCTATCCCTGCTGTCACTGTCTCTGGGGATCACTAGTTGGAGGCAGAGGGGCACAGGGGCTGGCCCGTGGCAGGGCACGGACAACAGCACCCATCTCTCTGGTCTGCCCTGCAGGACAACTTCCAAAACACTCCAAAAAATTGTGTCACAATAAAGAGATAAACTGTAAACCTGTGGGTTTGGTATCCATGTACATAGGCCAGAGGCAAGGGAGGAGGGGGGATGCAAGAGGAGCAAAAGCAGTGGCAGGAAGGGTGGGGAGGAAAAATCTTTGCACCAGTAGAACTTCCAGGCAGCACTGGATAAAGCCCATTTTCTGCTGCCTGCCAAAGAACAGAAACCACTCCTGGTTTTTATTTCAAAGTCCTCGTTTATTTCTGACATTAAATTTGGACCCATAGCTGAGCAACAAAGACAGAGAATAGTAACAGGAGGAATCTGAAGTGGAAAAAATCTGGGATCCCTGTCCCTACCCCATCCTGTTCCTCCACCAGCTCCCAAACCTTCTCATCCTCAGCTGCATCCCCTGTGTTTCCAGCCCTTTCAGACTCACCCGTTTCCCTGTGGCCCTGCCAGACCCACGGTGTGTGTTGGCTGCGAGGCCAACCCTCATCTTGGCCATCCGGCTGTTCTGGAACTGCCTCCCCAGCCTTGGCACCTCGTTAGCCGGTGACAGGTCACGCTTAATTTGCATGTGATGAAGATGACAATGGCTTCCCTTTCACCAAAGGGGTGACCCACAGAAGCAGAAGCCCCTGTGTTATTCCCACCCTCTGGAGGTCATGGCCATTGGGGTGGGAAGCCTTTTTGTGTGTGCCAAGAGGTAGAGTTGGATGCCAGGAGCCGCCGTGTCCGTGCTGGCTCTGTGCCTGCCGAGGGGACGGCATGGCAGGGCCTTCTGGCAGAGATCTGGGACACATTAACTTCTCGTGGCTCCCAGCAGGGTGAGACCGAGCTGAGCAGATGCTCTAGTGGGAAAGGATGGGATTTACCGAGTTAGCCAAGATTTTCTTCCCGTTACAGACGGTATTTTCAGGGAGGAGCACGGGCTGGATGGGAAGCGGTAGGAGCTACAGACTATGGACCAGTGGGATCCAGAGAGCTTTGCTGCTGCTAACTTTCATCTTCCCTCCTGCCTGCCCTTAATATGAGAGGACATTAAAACCTGTTATCACTATTTGAAGAATGGGAAGAGACTCTAAAAGCGATGCAGCCAGACCGAGTCTCCAGATAATGGAAATGCAGTGTCTTTTTGGGCCGGAGGTGGGGGAGATGGTGCATAACATTTGCTCAGAAGTGTGTGTAAAATGCAGGCTGGGACAAGGTGTTTGGTTACAAGGACCATGACCAGTGGCATTTGTCTGGCTCTTTTCTTCAGGTTGTTTGAGCAGAGGTGCCAAGGCAAGAGCAGGTCCAAACATCAGCCTTTTGCCTGAAAATGTGGACACTCAAGGCTGATGTACCATGTGCCTTCTATACTGAGACCTACCTTTTCCCTGTGTGAATGGGGAGGTTAAGTCCAAATCCTTCTGTGGGCAGCAGGATGATTTCTAAATTGCAGTGGTGAAAGAAAGACCTCACTACTCACATTTCTGAGCAGTCCTAACCTATATTGCAAAGGCATGGCAAGTGTTTCCTGCCATTGCCTCCAACAGCATCTGCAGGGATCATTGCTGTCCTGGTCCCTCCTCCCTGCTGTGAATGGGAAGCGCTCAGCTGAGCAGTCCTGCACTGGTTGCTATGGAAGTGCCTGTGAATGATGGAGATGTCCTTTTAGTAATTTTTCACCTAATTTGATTTATGGAGGAAGAAGAAACTTTCCCACATTCATTTTTGCAGAAAGGCAGAGTCACTGGCTGTCACTGCCAGCCGCAGTGCCGGTGAACCCGCATTTGGGTCTTGCAGCCTCTTCTTCCAAAAACAAAAGCAGGGGGGACCCAACCACCTGAATATCACTCTTCTGTGGGAGGCTGTGGGCCCTGCAAAGGAGGAGATGCAACCTGGTGGACTCTGCTGTTGCTGTTGAAAGCAAAATTCATCCTAAAACCAACCTTCCTCTGGCCGTTGGAGCTGTCAGGGTGGGTTGGGTAGGGCCTTGAAAGCAGAAGGTGAACAAAACCACAGTTATTTAGGGATACAATTCTTCCCATAAGTAAAATCTTGCCGTTTTCATGGGTCCAAGTTAAAATTGCTCCTAAGAAAGCTTGTGAAGAGTAGAAGAGGTGGGGGCTTCGGCCGCAGAAGGACCAGCCTGTGCCCGTTCGCGTGGGTGAGCGCTTTGGCGAGCAGCTTTGCCTCCCCCGGCAGTGACCTAAATTCATGTCTTGAACTTCTTCAGCACGTGCGAAGGCCGAAGCAGGTGGGACGCGGTGCCCTATCTTACACTCGAACAGAAAAGGTAACTGCTAGTGACAACTGATGCAGCACGAGGGGAGCAGGGCGACCTGGATCCTCCCTTCCTTGCTTTCCCATCGCCGAGGAGCGCTGCCATGCCCCTTTCAGCACTGGGATTTGCCAGGGGCGGCAGCTGGCGGGTGGTCACCCATTGCACCTTGTGCCGGAGGCAGAGGGCACCCAAGGCCTCACTCTGGGCTCAGGGAGCTGGGGGTAATTAAATTAGGTTGTACTGTACATAGCCCTCGTTAGACAAGTCCCTTTGGGAGACAGAGTAGATAATAATGACACTTATGATGGGTTCGGAGGTGGCCGGTTCAACATCGCCCTTCAAGGTCTCGCTCCCCTTCTCGCCCGTAGAGCTTCGCCGTGCCGGGCGGGTCAGCAGGAGGACCGTGCTGGTCTGGGGCTGGGCCTACGGGGTCCTCCCTGCGGGAACACCCCCAAAGACAAGTGAAAAGCCCCTTCCCTCGAGCGGGCGCCGGCTGGGGACACCCTGTGCTAGTGGCAATGGTGACTACACCTCCGTGCTGATGGCCCGCGGGTTCGGGAAGCTGTCGCGGAGGAGGCCGTGCCGGCTCAGCGTGTAGCCTTGCAGGGTGGCCATGTTGATGGGCGGCCCCATCTCCTTGTAGCACGCGGGGGTGTAGGTGACCCTCTCGCCCCCGTTGCGCACCATGTCGGCAGTCCGGATGTAAAAGGGGGATCCGTAGGGGGAGCAGGTCGGGCAGTAGTTGTGAGCCCCGTGCTGGTTGAGCTCGCTGGGCGGGGGCGCGGGGCTGCCCTGGCCGTCCACCATGCGGGAGCTGCAGGCGTTGCACATGCCGAGGTGTGAGTGCGTGGGGAGGTCGGGCACTTCCTCTTCCTCCTCCTCCTCCTCCTCCTCCTCTTCCTCATCGGAGTCATTTTTCTTGCAGCAGTAGTACTGCAGGAAAGAGAACGGGTTTTATGAGGGGAAGTGGAGCAGCCGGTGGACAGATTCGGCTTCTCAGCCAGCCCTGCCGCTTCCCTGCTCCTCTCATCCCCCTGCCAGAGAAACCCTCCGCGGCTTCTTGCTGCTCTGCTCCATCATTCCCGGGTCCTGAAGCCAGACAAAACCTGGACCTGAGCAAGCTGCAGGAGGCAGCTGCCAGGGAACTCGTCCTCACCCCCCAGCGAGGTTTGCAAGGGGAAGGAATTTCACCCTGCCAGTTGGAAACTGCTCCAAGTAAGCGCTGTGCTTTTCATCACACAGGCATTGCTGCATGGCACAGACTGCACATTAACTTTTAAAGAGCAGGAGGTTGTAGCTAGCTGTTGTTGAAAGCCTCCTCGTTTAATTTACAGGGGGAAAAAAATTATATAAAAATCTCCATCTGGTATTGCAAACCCAGCCAAGCCTGCACCTCAGTTACCAAGTGCTGCAGAGCCTCAAAAGTCTTAGGGGAGTCCCCCTACACCAGGGGCAGGGAAGGACATAATTCTGCAGCACCTGGGGAGATGGGGGGGTTTCAACTCCCTGCCATCACACCAAAAAAAGGCCCTTTTAGACCCCTCCTGTAGCAGCAGCTCAGCATGAGGAACATAGAATCATAGAATATCTAGAGTTGGAAGGGACCCACAAAGATCATCGTCCAACTCCTGGCCCTGCACAGAACAGCCCCAAAAATCCCACCGTGTGCCTGAGAGCGTTGTCCAAACACTTCTTGAGCTCTGGCAGGCCTGGGGCTGTGACCACTGCCCTGGGGAGCCCATTCCAGTGCAAAGTGAGGTTGGCAAAGTGGGGGACACTGACCTGTAGCCTACAGTAGCAGAGCACGGCAATGATGCACAGTAGGATCACCGTTGCAAGGATTCCCCCGGTGATAACAACAGTTCCCGCTGTCATCCGACCGATTCTCCATCAAACTCTGCAAGGTGGGGACACAGGGACACAAAAGTCACCTACCATGGTTTTGTCACCACATCACGGATGTGATGCCCACAAGGCATCCCAAAATAGTGCATCCCCATTCCTCTCTCCCCAGCTGGAAAACTAATATCACCTAATATCATTCTCCTTCTCTTAGCGAGAGGACACAAGATGCAGCATCACATCCCCTTGCTGCCATCACTGCTCTGGCTTGGGATCTTTGGGAAACACCCTGCGATCTGCTGGCAGAGCCTTGCCCCTTAATGAGCCCAAAGGGATGATTTCCACCCTCCCAGCACAAAATCCACCTTCTTCATCAAAACCCTGAAGCAAACCTGTGTCTCCACCAGGAAAATGCAAAGCAGAGCCTTTGGACCCTGCAAGCCTGGCAGTCTGAGCCCAGAAATCACACCCTGGCCTCCTGCCGGGCACCAATGGGTCTAACAGGGGCTTGGCATGAGTCAAGCAGCCCCCACTGCCACCCCTGTGCCACGAGACCCAAGGGATACTTACGTTCAGTGACGGAGGCGTTGGACCTGGAAGAAGTGGAGGGAGAGGTTAGTTGTGGCCTGACAGCACCCCTTGCACCCACCTGCCTTTCCCAGTGTCTCAAGAATTTGCCTTGAATTGGGACCCCACAGGAAGCCCTGCTTTGCCTGCAGGGATGGGGCTCAGCATCTGCCCATGCCCCTGGGAGGCCACATGGGGCAAAAAGCATTTGGGATCCTGCTGCTGGTAATTATTACTATTACTATTATTATTATAATCATCTTTACCTTGAAGCAGGGAAAGGAGACATTTCCCAAGCTCAGAGAAATGCTCCACAGGAGAAGGGCACAGGCCTGCTTAGTCAGCACTTGGCCTTTTCCTCTTTAAAATTAATTACGAGGAAGGTGGATGCATCACTGCAAGTGACCAACGTTTTAGGTGCTGCTGGGACAGATCTCCCCTCCATCCTGCCCAGGGCAGGTGAGCCCCCACATCCCCCCACGACCCCACAGGCACTTACCCAGAAAAGGACAGGCAGGATGTTGTGGTCACGCCGGCCCCGGGGTGGCCGGCCAGGACAGGCAGCTCTGCATGGCCACGGGGAGACACAGCGGCCCTGGGAGGGACAAGGGAAAAAAACCCACTGCTGTCAGCTCATCCCACTGCCCAAGGGCTTTGTTTACCCAGCGTCCCCATCCCCACTGATGCCGCCTCTGTTGCCGCAGCGGGGCTAAATAAATTGCTTTGTTGGGGCAGAAGAGGCGGATGCTGCAAAGGTGGGCAAAGCAAACTGCCAGGAAGGGATGACCCCGCACCTGAAACCTGCCATTCCAGCAGAACTGAGAGAAGTGGGTGCACCCATCTCCTCATCACCCATCACCTCCAGCGGTGCCTCGCTCAGCCGCCTTTCATTACCGGCCCTCGCGTCCCTTGGTGCCTCGGCCAGAGCAGGGCTAATTGATAGGGCCCAAGTGCCAGCCCGCTGCAGCCGAGGAGATCTAATTACCCGCTGGCCACGCGGCCCTAATTAACAGAGAGAGGTGGCAGCTTCCAGGCGAGACCTGCCCACCTCTGCCCTGGCCCCTCACTGCTGCATGTCCCAGCGGACATGACCGTGCAGAACCACCCCCCTCCCCAAAAATCACCCGCCCTCCTCACTGCGCTGTGGTGACTTGCAGGAACCTGCCTGCCACAAATTGATTTCCAGCTCTTGGAAAGTTCCTGTAGGAAGCCAAAAGGCGGGCACGCATTGGATTTCCTCCTCAAGCCGCTCTTGCACACGAAACAAAGGAAAAAAAAAACACAAACCCAGAGAAATCAATAGGCCCATAACCCAGCTAATATCTCCATCCATCAGGAGACCCGGTGCAGAGCTAATAATAGAGACCAACACACTCGGCTCCTGCTCCCTTGTTACCAAACCGCACCCTGAAATGCTGCCAGGAGTGTAGGGGGACACACAGGGAGCCACTGGGGGGGTGACACCTCCCCAGGTGCCTTCCTTAACAGGGAAAAGGTGACAGTGGGTGGTTGGAAAAGGCAAAAGTTGACCTTTGAAGACCCCAGGAGGGACACGCCACGAGTGATGTGGTGATGGATGATGCAGGCGGCCGTTCACATCCAGAAAACTTCATTTCGTGGGAGCTGTGATTTGATTTAGAGCTTGGAGAGCAGCACCCAATTAGCCTGAAGTTTGTAGCGAGCAGGCGGCCTCGGAGAATGACCCCGGGCAGGGAGGGACTGGCCTTGGGGACCCTTTGGTCACCTCTGAGAGCTGAGTGTCCAACTGGTGCTTCCTCAAGAATGGCTGGATTTCCATACACCCCATCTCCAGCATTCCTGTTCCTGGCGTTGCCAGGATCAGCATTTCACCTGCCCCACTCAGAAGCCAGACTCTTCCTTATTAAAATACTGAATGCTAGAGAAAGCCAAAAATGACAGTGAACCAGAAGAGAAGTGCTGCCTTTCCTCATCTCTTTGGAGGGAATGCTTTCAGGGAAGAGAAAGTTTCCTCCCCTCCTCCTCTCCTCCCCTCCAAACCCTGCCCCACCAGGAGCCCAGTAGTTAATTTTCTACCCAGTCTGTGGCTATAAAATAATTTGTGCCTATCAAATAGCCTTCTCTAACCTACTGCTCTCTCCTGCAGGGATGCATAAGGGAATGTAACACCTCCCAGGGAAGGAGCAAGAGCCCCAGTCTCAGAAGTAATTGGGGTCTTGGGAATTATAAGCTAAATAAGCCCAGAAAGGAGAAGGACAACTACAACAGCCTTTCCACAACAGCTCCAGAAGCCACATCCCTGCCACTGGGGATCACCCCACGTCCATTTTTCATCCACCCTCCCCAAACACATCCCAAGCTGCTGGGAAAGGAGCATTTTGGGCTCCACTGCCTCACCTCCACGCAGCCCCACCACTCCATCCCGACAAAAGGCCGTACATTTTTATGGATCCCATAAAAGCCTGGGCTGTACTATGAGCCAAACTGAGCCCTGCAGCTCCTGCTCCCACAGGAGGATGGGATGCAGAAGCATCCCAGGGGAATTGCACAAGCCCAACGTCCGGGGCCACAGTCCCATTTCTCCTTCTGGCTTAAAAAGGGAGCTGAGAGTCATTTAAATATTCACATGTCCCAAGCTGAGTAGATGCCTTGACACTCACTGCTCACTCTCTCCTGGGGAGCTCAGGACAGGGGACGACCCAAGGGTGGTCGTGGGGACACAAACCATCACTGAATAAAATCAGGATTTATAGGAACAGGGCTGCCTCCCTCCCTGCCTCTCGGGGAGTGCTCTGAGACCTCGGCAGCGGTGTCACGCTGTTCCCAGCAGGGCCGGGAGGGGGTGGAGGGAGGGTCCGTGGCCGTATCGAACTCCTCCGGGCAGGCGTGCAGAACTGCTTGCTGCAGAGATACATTTTCTTTAATTGATGTTGCCTCGCAGCGCAAAGTTACGGCCTGAAAAGTGACTCTGGGAACGAGTAGCATCTCAGGCTTCTATATTTATTCCCCTTCAATGACGTCCATAGCACATTTGCACGGTTTGCAAGTCGATGGCGAGATTTTTGCCAGCCGCCAGCACTCTCAGCTCAGCTGAAACACCCCTGTCCTTCCTCACCCTGTGTGTCCCACCAGTCCTGAGCTCGTCCCTGTCACCCACCAAGGGTCAAACCCTCCCACCAGAGCTCAGGAGCAGGCTCAGGACAGGGCAGAGCGTGGTTATTCACGATGAGCATCATGCCGAACCCTGCCACAAGTCCTACCCCAGCCTGGGCTCTGCTCTCCTGGTTTTGCTCTGCAGCTCATGGGATAATTCAATGAAATGTCTGCCTGGTAAATTAGCCCGGCCGCTGCCTCACCAGAATCATCTCCCAGGGCCTAATTGGAAACAAACAGCAGCAGGGGCTGCCTTTTCAAAACAGACTATGGCAGCAAACAACAGGGCAGCTCCCGGGCAGCTGTGACCTGCCCCTGCACGGCCTCAACCCAGCGGGATTCGGGGGGATCAACCCACGACTGCAAACCCCCAGCCACGGTGCCGGAAGGGTGCACAGGGAATGCTGAGCTCATGTAAACTCATTGCACGTCAGGTGTTCTGTGCTGCATAAGGGGATAAGCCAAGCTGTGGGGGAGCAGAAACAAGGAGACACCACCCCCAAAAGGAGTCAAGCCAGATGAAATTTTACCCAAAGAGTGATGGCAACGTGGGATGCAAGAGGATGCAGGGGGTGGCACCCAGCTGGCAGCCCCCCAGCAGCCCCTCTCTGGTCCCAGGCCTCTTCTCCTGGGCTTCTTGCCCCAGTCACAAACCCCTGGGTCACTGTGAAGCCTTAAAACTTCTAATTAATGAATCAGGTGAGCCTGCTGTTGGTTCTGCAAGAGTTGTATTGGAGTCTGGAGCAGCCTCCACTCCTCCTGTGGACAAAAATCACAGTGGCAGCTGGGAAAACTTTGATTTCAATCTGCTGCAGAGAACTCCAAATAAGGTTTTTCCCAGCAGAAAGGGGCAAGCCATTTCCTCCCTGAGGCTTTTTCCTGCTGTGATGCCTTTGGTGCCTTGAACCACGTGGGGTTTTCCCAGCAGTTTTGCTGCAGCCAACACCCTGTTCCCGGCCACCACAAGGACAGCCAGGTCACAGAGGTGAGCCCTGAGGCTCCAGCGATTCGCAGTCAGTCATCAAAACAGAAAATCCATGACCTGCCTGCAAGCCTGCCCTGCCTTTCCCTCCATCATCCACACCGGTTCCTTGGGGCTCCCACCACCTCCTCCTGGACAAGGCATGGGAAAGACAAAATAACCAACAAGGATCTGAAACCAGCTCTTTTCTCGCAGAAGCTCTGCGGAAAATGCAAGATGTGAATTGCAGTTAACAAAAATCAAGCCCCTTTAACAGTGGAAGCCACCAGCCAACCCCCAGCTCCTGGGTGGGAATGAAGGCCTGTGCTCCTGCTGCTAACGCTGTGCTCCCGACCCACTGAGCCCAGAAGATCCCCTCTCTTGCTGCCAAACTGCCAAAAACCACCTTCTTGCCAACCCAGGTTCGCTGTCTCCCATGCCAGGCCTCATCCTGCTGTGCTGGGAAAACTGCCCTGCCGATGGCAATTGCCTTTGCAGCCACATAGGACCAAGCATCCCCCTCTGATCTCTGTCCAGGTGCAGGAAACCCCAGCCCCAGCTGGCACATCCGCATCCCTCTCCCAGGGAGACCTCCCGGCACTTCTCAGACTTTTGGAGGAAGGGCGGCTTTGCAGCCTGGGACGTCTCGGGTGCGGATTATCCCAGTATCTCGTTACTTGGGCGTCTCATCTGCCCTTTATCTCCTTAAGCGACTATTCAGCCCGTCTCGCCTGCCTGCATGGATTAACTGCAGCCATGTGTACGACAGAGGGACAGGACAGGACTGTCACCCCCATCCTGTTCCCCCCAGCACACACGTACAGCAAAGCCCGTGACTCAGCCAGGGCTACACCTGGATCATAATTACACCTCCTTTGCGGCCCCTCCTCTTTGCAGAGTGGCTTAAAACCCGGGCGAATGACACCTCCCTCCTCATACCCCCAGGCATCTCCTACCCGCTGTGTTTGCTCAGCCCAGTTCGGGAGCCGCGGTGGGTGGGTGCAGACCCAGGAAGGGTGATGTGCAGCCCCGGACACAGGGAAGGTGTCAGACGCGGGACAGCCCACAGTGGGATGCAGATGGGAATATCCTCAGCCTGATCCACATGGCTCATGTCCTGCCGCTGTGCCCAGGGTTCCTCCCGGGCCAGCTCCCAGCAAAAGCCAGGAACGTGTGCCGGGGAGCCACTCCGCTGTGGTCCCAAAATAACCAGGGACAAAACGGGCGGCATCAAGCCAAGTCACACAGAGAAGGGCTTTTGAGATTATCCCGCACGTCAGATCCCCTCGGGCTCTCTGGAGCCAGCCAACACCTGGCCAGTGTCCCTGCCACAGGCAGCATCCCTCCCAGCACCCACATATCCCCCGGGATGAGCAGCGGCAGCAGCAGTGTCCGTGCCGGGAGTGGAGCGAGGCCGTGGCGAGCTGGAATGCTGGGTGTGCCCCAGGTGAGACTGACCCTTGCCAAAAAGCCAGAGAATTTT